GGCACCATGCCCAGCCAAAATAAAGGACTCTTCATGTTGAAGAGTCAGGCAAATAAATTAGAAAAAAAGATAAAATTGTCTTCATAAATGGCATGATTGTCTTTGCAGAAAACCAATACAAAGTATGAAAAAGCTACTGGAACAAATAAATTAGTTTAGCAAGGCTGCAGGATACAAAATCAATACACAAAAATCGTTTTATTTCTATATACTGGCGACAAACACTTGGAAATTAAAAATTTTAAACAACACCCTTTACAATCACATCAAGGTTATGCAATACTTGGAGGCAATTCTGACAAAAGATGTGCAAGACCAATACATTGAAAACTACAAAATGGGCTGAGAAAATTTATTTTTAATTTATTTTTATTTTTTTTAGAGACAGAGTCCCACTATGTGGCTCAGGCTGGTCTTGAACTCCTGAGTTCAAGCGATCCTCCCACCTCAACCTCCTAAGTAGCTAGGGACTATAGGCGCACCTCCAGCCTAACTTTTTATATTCTTTGTAAAGATGGAGTTTCGTTACATTACCCAGGCTGGTTTCCAACTCCTGGGCTCAAGCGATCCGTCCTCGGCCTCCCAAAGCGCTGGGATTACATTTGCTACCTCCCAGGTTCCAGTGATTCTCATGGCTCAGCCTCCCTAGTAGCTGGGATTACAGGCATGCACCACCACGCCTGGCTGATTTTTGTATTTTCAGTAGAGACGGGGTTTCACCATGTTGGCCAGACTGGTCTTGAACTCCTGATCTCAGATCTGCCCACCTCAGCCTCCCAAAGTGTTGGGATCACAGATGTGAGCCACAGCACCCAGCTTATTTTTGTGGTTTTGTTTGTTTTTTTAGTAGATACGGGGTTTCGCCATGTTGGCCAGGCTGGTCTCAAACTCCTGGCCTTGAGTGATCTCTCCTTGCCTTGGCCTCCCAAAGTGCTGAGATTATAGGAATGAGCCACTATGCCTGGCCAGTTCTTTCTTTCTTATTTATTTATTTTTTTTTAGAGATAGCGTCTCGCTCTTGCCTAGGCTGGGGCGCAGTGGTGCAATCTTGGCTCACTGCAGCCTCGTAACTGAGACTACAGGCACGTGCCACCATGCCCAGCTAGCTTTTGAAATTTTTGTAGAGATGAAGTCTCACTATGTAGAGATGAAGTCTCAAAGTCCTGGCCTCAAGCAATCCTCCCACCTTGGCCTGCCAAAGAGCTGGGATAACAGATGTGTACCACCGCCCCAGGCCTCATACAGTTCCTAATCATTTTCATTACCTTAACTCAGATGCCTTAGTGTATTTCATGCTCTTATGAATGATATCCTATATTCTATTTTCCAGTTAGTTATTACGAATATGAGGAACACTATTTTTTAAGTCGGACATACATCCAGCAACCTTTATGGACTCCTATATTTATTCTAATAATTGTGGGTTGATTTAGTTGGTTATTCTGAACATTTCATTTACAAACAATGACCGTTCTGTGTCTTCCATGTATATTCATACTTTTCCTTTATTATTTTTTTGGTATTGGCCAAAGATTCAAGTCCTGTTGAACATTAGCAGGGCAGTGAGAATCCCGTTGTCTTGCTTCCAGTCATAAAGGTATATGTCCATTTTTTTTTTTTTTTAACAAGACAGGGTCTTTCTGTATTGCCCAGGCTGGTCTCAAACTCTTGGCCTCAAGGGTTCCTCCCGCCTCTGCCTCCCAAAGTGCCGAACCACCACACCTGGCCCACGTCTAAATTTTATCCATGAAATACTCTAGGTTATTAGTGGATCACCTTTGTCCACTTAAGGAAGTTTTCTTGCGTCCTTTATTTTCCAGAGTTTTCATCCTAACAGCGTTTCTCTTTAAGAAAAATGAGCTTTTCCGCATCTGTTGAGAAAATCTCACGCTACCCTTCCTCTAGGCTATGAATGTGGTTCCCAAGGTCGTGATAGGATCTCTGATGTTCAACCGTCCCTGTGCGCCTCAGAAGAGCCTTACTCGTCAAGACAAATTATCTTTCAGGGCCAGGGCCAGGGCCTGAGCAAGGAGAGAGAGCTGAGGGAGTCTTCACAGGGGTGGAAACACTCAGCCATCACAACAAATGATATTTGAATGCAACATTTTATAAACTGAAAATCAATGCCAAGAAAAGTCAATGATAAACAAAATACTGAAATTTTAAATAAAGACAGATAGTAACAGTGCCATGTCAAGCCATATTGGAGCTGAGGCAAGAAAACCAATCAGTAATACTGATGCTGTCTTCATTTAAAATTTTATATTTTGTTCACCATAGTTTTTTTGCATGAGTTTGGACTCTTTAAGGTAGTGCATTAAAATATTTTTTCTTTTAAATTATTTTCCTTTTGTAGGAGCTACTCTATTAATTGAAAAATATTTATCTTAAAAACTGAGTATTTTGGAACCTCCTGAATTTTTTGCCCAAAACAAGTGCTTCACATACTTCACCCTAATCACAGCCCTGTTCGTCTTAACTCGCTGTGAATTTCTTTAAAATTTGCACCTCTGATTATGAGTGAATTGTCCTATAATTTTGTTTGTATATATTCTTTTTTATCTAGATTGGGAATTAGGGCTTTGTAGCCTTTTATTTATTTATTTATTTATTTATTTTTCTTTTTTTTTTTTTCAGACAGAGTCTCGCTCTGTCGCCCAGGCTGGAGTGCAGCGGCTTATTTTTTAAGGCGCCCTAGATCAAATTAAAGAAGTTCCTTTCTATTCCTAATTTGCTACAGGTTTTTAAAAATCACAACCAAACATTTAATTTTATCAAATGTTCTTATAAAATGTTTTGTTGTGCATATATTGAGATGATTGTATGTTTTTTTCACCTTTATTTTGTAAATGTGATGAATTACATTGATTGCATTTCAAATTACATAAACCTTAACTTTCCTGGAATAAGCCCAACTCGGACTATGTTGTTCTTTTTCATATGTTGCTCGATTTCGCTTGTTAGTATTTTATCTAGTCTACTCATGCTTTGTTCATGGGTGAGAAGAGACTTTACAGTGTTGGGTTAAGTTTATGCAGCCTCATGCAGTGAGTGGATCCCTCTTCTCACCTTCCCTGGGAGAAGCCCTCTAGGTCAGCACCACACCAGCAGCCAGTCTTGATGGGCTGCCAGGACGGCTCCTGGAAGCTGGGGAAAAAATGATGACATAGAAAATGAGGTGGAAGGCCGGGCACAGTGGCTCACGCTTGGAATCCCAGCACGTTTGGAAGCCGAGGTCGGTGGATCACTAGGTCAAGAGATCAAGACCATCCTGGCCAACATGGTGAAACCCCATCTCTACTAAAAATACTAAAATTAACTGGGCGTGGTGGTGCGTGCCTGTAATTCCAGCTACTCAGGAGGCTGAGGCAGGAGAATCTCTTGAACCAGGGAGGCGGAGGTTGTGATGACCTGAGATCGCGCCATTGCATTCCAGCCTGGGCAACAAGAGTGAGACTCCATCTCAAAAAAGAAAAAAAAAAAAAAAGAGGTGGAAAAGACAGAGGGGTCTTGGCAGAATATTGACGACAGGATGAGAATTGAGACCACTTCACTCTTGGGACTCAAGAGCTGAGATCGCCTGTGTCAACCTGATTTAATTATTATTTCCAGAAAACTCTTTCCAGGAAGATAAAACTAAATCAGTCAATCACTGTCTGCTTCAGGAAAATCTTGCAGGACAATGTATCCTGGCACATAGTTTACCAATCTGAGAACCAGCTCACTCATCAGAACTTTTATCCGGCTGTGTTTCTCTGTCCTGCACTGTTGGGCCATGAGCTTGGTCCTATCCCAGTGAGTCCTTGCATTGAAAGACAGACCATCAACCATCTGAGCCCAGATTCTAAAATCCTATGAGGCCAGGTGCACTTTGGGAGGCTAAGGTGGGAGGATTGCTTGAGCCCAGGAGTTAGAGACCAACCTGGGCAACAGAGCAAGACTCTGTCTCTACGAAACACTAAAAAATTAGCCGGATGTGGTGGAGCACACCTGTAGTCCCAGCTACTTGGGAGGTTGATGGGGGCGGATTACTTGAGCCCAGGAGGTTGAGGCTGCAGTGAGCTGTGGTTGCACCTCTGCAATCTAGCCTGGGCAACAGAGCAAGACCCTGTCTCTAAAAATAAACATGTTTTCTGGGAGTCACTGCTGAGTTGTTGGCAGTGAATGGTACTAAATGCTCCCATGGGATTCAGCTGAGACGACCTCCCCAGGATGGCCTGAGACCTGCGACAGGAACCAGCACTCTCCTCGTGACCCTCTGGTTTCCTTTTGTGAAAGCTCCTTGTGTTCTAGGGTTGAGAAAGCCTTCTTACATGTGCTTTGATTATCTGATGAGATGAAGGTTTTGATCCTTGTGGAAACTACTTTGCTGCTAACAACAATTCTGTTTGTCCGTCTGTCCTTGTCACCTTCTGTTGTGAAGAGCTCCTTGGGAAGAGGATGAACTAACACAGGTCTGAATGTCCCTGTCTCAAGGGCACCAAGGGCCAGTGAGTTCGGGTCTTGTGAATCCACTGTTGTTATCTAACAAACGAAATCCTCATCTGCACCTTCTTCAGTTTTGCCTTGTTTTCAGGCCTGTCCTCCTGGGGAGACCCTTAGGACAGCACTGCCTTCAGTGGAGGGTTCGTGGCCCCAGGTGAAGGAGCTCTTGCCAGGGTGTGTGGCGGCTGGGGTCCTGCCCTCAGAAGCGGTTTCTGCTCCCGGGTGGGCGTGCTCCCACTGTGACCTCAGTGCTCCCCTTCCTGAATGATGCCCTTCCCTCAAAGACCACTTCGGAGCCGGGTGCAGTGGCTCAGGCCTGTAATCCCAGCACTTTGGGAGGCCGAGGCGCGTGGATCATGAAGTCAGGAGATCGAGACCATCCTGGCTAACACCGTGAAACCCTGTCTCTACTAAAAATATAAAAAATTAGCTGGGCGAGGTGGCGGGCGCCTGTAGTCCCAGCTACTCAGGAGGCTGAGGCAGGAGAACGGCGTGAACCCGGGAGGCGGAGCTTGCAATGAGCCGAGACCGGGCCACTGCACTCCAGCCTGGACGACAGAGTGAGACTCCGCCTCAGAAAAACAGAAAACAAACAAACAAAACACAAAAAACACTTCGGGTTGCAGTGGCCACTGTGAATAATTTTTGTACATCATTCTCAAATTGTGTATTTGAAGGGCTTAGAGTGAAAAAGAGGGAAATTCTCAAACACCAAATGATCTTTCGTTCCTGCGTTTTGTCATTAGTAGGAGGAAGCTTCCTAAAGAAAGATTGAAAAATTAATTCCTAAAAGATTCCTTGATCAAATAAAAATGGGAAAACATAAAACGCTTTCAGATCCCTCAAATTGCACCGTGAACTTTATGACCTTTATTTCACTCTTGCTACAGGCTCCTCCACTGCCCCACCCCTCTATCTTTCCTTTATTTTTTTAGAGGCCGGGTCTTGTTATGTTGCCCAGGGCTGTTCTTGAACTCCTGAGCTCAGGTGATCTTCCCAGCTCAGCCTTCGCGTGGCTGGAGCCGAGGCCCACACCACCATTCCTGGCTATCTTTCAAAAATTAATTTTAATTTTAATTTTTGTAGAGATGGGGTCCCCTCGTGTTGCTCAGGCTGGGATGCCCATCGTTTGAATTCATGTCCTTTCTCTTCTGTTTGGCCAGAAACCCCTGAGGCTCGACTGCCTCTTAAAGGCAAATCATCTGAGAAACAGGCAAGCCCCTTCTCTCTCTCTCCCCTGCCTGCCTGCCTTCCCTCCCTCCCTCTTTCTTTCTTTCTTTCTTTCTCTTTCTTTCTTTCTTTCTTTTCTTTCTTTTTCTTTCTTTCTTTTTCTTTCTCTCTTTCTTTCTTTCTCTTTCTTTTTCTTTCTTTCTGTCTGTCTTTCGTTTCTTTCTTTCTTTCTTTTCTCTCTCTCTCTCCCCTTCCTTCCTTCCCTCCCTCCCTTTCTTTCTTTCTTTTCTTTCTTTTTTTCCTTCCTTTCTCTCTCTCTCCTTCCTTCCTTCCTCCCTCCCTCTCTCCCTTTCTTTCTCTCTCTCTTTCTTTCCATAATTTATTTCTCTCTCCTTCCTTCCCTCCCTCCCTCCCTCTTTCTTTCTTTCTGTCTCTCTCTCTCTCCTTCCTTCCTTCCTTCCTTTTTTCTTTCTTTATTTTTTTTGAGATGGAGTCTCACTCTGTCACCCAGGCTGGAGTGCAGTGGCACAATCTCAGCTCACTGCATCCTCCACCTCCCAGGTTCAAGCGATTCTGTCTCAGCCTCCCGAGTAGCTGGGATTGCAGGCGAGTGCGACTACACCCGGCTAATTTTTGTATTTTTAGTAGAGATGGGGTTTCACCATGTTGGACAGGCTGGTCTCGAACTCCTGGGCTCAAGTGATGCACCTGCCTCAGCCTCCCAAAGTGCTGGGTTTACAGGTGTGAGCCACTATGACCAGCCTGGCTAATTTTTAAAATAACAGCTTTATTAAGTAATAATTTATATATTAAAAATTTACCCTTTTGGAAGTCCAAGCCACAGCAGTCAGGCAAGAGAAAGAAGTAAAAGGCATGCACAAAGGAAAAAAAGTCAAACTATCTCTGTGGGGCAAAGAAAGAGAGATCAGATTGTCACTGTGTCTATGTAGAAAAGGAAGATAAGAAACTCCAGTTTGATCTGTACTAAGAAAAATTGTTTCTGCTTTGAGATGCTGTTCACCTGTAACTTTCGCCCCAACCCTGTGCTCACAGAAACATGTGCTGTACTGAATCAAGGTTTGATGGACTTAGGGCTGTGCAGGATGTACCTTGTTAACAGTATGTTTGCAGGCAGTGTGCCTGGTAAAAGTCATCGCCATTCTCCTTTCTCTTAACCAGGGACACAGTGCACTGCGGAAAGCTGCAGGGACCTCTGCCCAAGAAAGCCTGGGGATTGTCCCAGGTTTCCCCCACTGAGACAGCCGGAGATATGGCCTCGTGGGAAAGGAAAGACCTTACCATCCCCCAGCCTGACACCCGTAAAGCATCTGTGCTGAGGAGTGAAAGAGGGAGGCTTCTTTGCAGTTGAGATAAGAGGAAGGCTTCTGTCTCCTGCTTCTGTCATCCCTGGGAATGGAATGTCTTGGTGTAAAGCCGACCATTCCCATTCGTTCTATTCTGAGATAGGAGAAAACCGCCCTGTGGCTGGAGGCAAGATATGCTGGCAGCAATACTGCTCTGTTGCTGTTTGCTACACTGAGATGTTTGGGTGAAGAGAAACATAAATCTGGCCTACGTGCACATCCAGACACAGTGCCTTTCCTTGAACTTATTCATGATACAGATTCCTTTGCTCACATGTTTCCCTGCTGACCTTCTCCCCACCTGTTGCCCTGCTACACTCCGCTTGCCAAGATAGTAAAAATAATGATCAATAAATACTGAGGGAACTCAGAGGCTGGTGCCAGTGCAGGTCCTCTGTATGCTGAGTGCCAGTCCCCTGGGCCCACTGTTCTTTCTCTATACTTTGTCTCTGTGTCTTATTTCTTTTCTCAGTCTCTCGTCCCACCTGACGAGAAATACCCACAGGTGTGGAGGGGCTGGCCCCCTTCAATCTCTCTTCGCTGATGCTATGATTCTATACCTAGAAAACCCTGAACTCCACCAAAAGGTTCCTGTACGGTAATGACTGCAGTAAAGTTTCAAGATACAAAATCAACATTCAAAAGTCATTAGTATTTCTTTTCTTTTTTTTGAGACAGAGTCTTGCTGTGTCACCAGGCTGGAGTGCAGTGGCACGATCTTGGTGCACTGCAACCTCCACCTCCTGGGTTCAAATGATTCTCCTGCCTCAGGCTCCCAAGTAGCTGGGACTACAGGTGCATGCCACCATGCCCAGCTAATTTTTGTATTTTTAGTAGAGACATGTTTCACCATGTTGGCCAGGATGGTCTCAATCTCTTGACCTCGTGATCTGCCCGCCTCGGCCTCCCAAAGTGCTGGGATTACAGGCGTCAGCCACCGCGCCCGGCCAGTCAGCAGCATTTGTATAAACCAGTAGTGTCCAAACTGACAGCCAAATCAAGAATTCTATCCCATTTACAATAGCCACACACAAAAATAAAATACCTAGGAATACGTCTAACCAGGGAGGTGAAAGACATCGATAAGGAAAGTTACAAAACACTGCTGAAAGAAATCATAGATGACCC